TGGAACCAGGGACCACTGGGACTCTTGCAGACCAGACCTTCCCTCTGTCCAGCTGTCCTTCGCAGAGTGAAGGGAGGACTTACTGGTCCTCTTCTCACCAGACTCTGGGATTTTAGATGGAGCAGGATGGGAACTCCCCTCCCTTCTACAGAGGTCCAGGCCACCCCTCAAATCCCAGCTTTATTGTCAGGACCAATTAACTTAAGGCCAAAGGACACGCAAGTGTGCATGTTCACCCCAAAAGGGGAGATTGGAGGAGAGAGAAATTTTAAAACAGATGCCACAGATTCAGTTCTGTGTGAATCTGGTGGGTGGGTGACGGGGGGCCCTGTATAAATCTGGGGCCTCCAGGGTATGTTCAAGCAGTCAAGATGGCGGCTGCCATGATGAGGGAGCTCTTACTTGTGTTATGCACCCCGCCATAAAAAAAACAGAGAGCTTTGATCACAGCCATGCGCCTCCCCCCCCCCCCGTGTGCCCTGCAGACGGAGGTAGCAGACAGAAAGCAAAGTTGCCTTGGGGGTGTTAGGAGAATAACAGACTTGGAAGGGGCCTTGGAGGTCTTCTAGTCCAGCCTTCAGATCAAGCGGGAGACTCTATAACATTCCAGGTAAATGGCTTCTTGAAAACCTCCATTGTTGGAGCACCCAGTATTTCTAGTGGGAACCTGTTCCGCTGGTTAATTGTTCTCACTGTCAGGAAGTTCTCCTTAATTCTCCTAATGGAATATAGAATCATAAACATGGAAGGGGCCTTGGAGGTCTTCTAGTCCAACCCTCTGCTTAAGCAGGAGAATCTGTACCATTTCAGATAAATGGCTGTCCAGCCTCTTCTTCAAAGCCTCCAGTGATGGAGCCCCCCACAACCTTCAGAGGCAAAAACTCTTCCACTGGTTGATTGTCCTCCCTGTCAGGAAGTTTCTCCTCCGTTCTGAGTTGCTTCTCTCCTTGATTAGTTTCCGCCCATTGCTCCTCGTCCTGCCCTCGGGGGGCTTTGGAGAAGAGGTTGGTTGCATCAGGTCACTCCCCCCCCCCCCCCCCGTTCCTGCTGGCTTGCTCTCCCCCATTGTGGCAGCCAATCCTGGATTATCTGGAAGAGCGAAGCAGGACCCCACTAGCATAAGGAGATTTTTGGGAGATTCTAGGCTAGACTGGGAAATGAAATAACATTCCTGAATACGGTGAAACCCTTTTGTGCAGTTGCTAAAAAGCCCCCCACCCCAGGAAGAGGCTGCATTCGAACTCTGAATTGTCAGGCTGTGGGAAGTCTCCCTTTTGGCCTGCTCAAGGCATCTCTGTCTCGGTTGCTCAGCCCAGACTTTCCAGGGCCCTGTTTCACACACACACACACACAAACACAAACACAAACACAAACACAAACACAAACACAAACACAAACAAACAAACAAACACAGACAGGCTTTGGTTCTGCATGAACCCTGCAGTCCCGAGTAGAGACCAAAACTCAGCCAAATTAACATGGTTCTCTGTGGGTTGAACCAGGGACCAACTTCCTTCCCTTCAGTTCTTCTTTGTTACGGATTTCAGAAAAGAACAGCAACCTTGGAAAAGGAATGTCAAAGAAAAAGAATAAAAGAAGGCGATATAATGGTAGAATAAAAAGAAATAAACCTTGGATGAGAATTGTCACGGAGGTTCATAACTGTTGAATACGATCTTGGCTGCTTATAAAGTTAAGGCTCATTCAAAAGGAAGCCTAAGTGTCATTCTTCAACGTTTTTACCTAAAGGACTCTCTAACTACTCTCTGCCATACAGATTGGTAAACTGCCATTACGGCTGGGTTACGGCTGCTGCTGGGAGAGGCAGCAAGTGAGGTCCTCCCCCTTCCAGCCCAAGGAGCCTTTCCCTCCCCGCTGGGGTGGGGGGTGGGGGCAATTGGTGATTTAAACTTGAGCAGGCCCTGCATGCAGATGGCTTTGCCCAAAAACTGCCCTGCAGCTACAAAGCAACGCAATCTCAACACATCCTCCTTCCGTTGTTGTTATAAGAGCATAGAGTAACAGAGTTGGAAGGGATCTTGGAGGTCCAACTCTCTTCTCAAGCGGGACACTCTAGGCAAACGGCTGCCAGGGAGCCTCCAGGGATGGAGCCCCCACAAGAAATCCCCCGCTTGTTTTCATCCCTGCGGGAATCCAAATGGCCAGAGCAGGTTCTTGGGATGGGAAGGAGAAGCAGGAGGCTCCCCCTGTCCTCCAAAGGACCCAGGACCAGAAGCATCAGATGGGAATGGATGAAGGAGGGAAGCTCCTTGATCAAGAGAGGACGAAGGAGAAACTTCCTGGCAGTGAGAACGATTAATCAGTGGAACAGCTTGCCACCAGAGGTTGTGGGGGCTCCATCCCTGGAGGTGTTCAAGAAGAGATTGTCTGTAATGGCAGAGGGTCTCCTGCCTTGAGCGAGGGGCTGGAGTGGAAGACATCCCTTGCAATTCTCTTACTCTGTTTATTCATCCATCCATCCATCCATGGAACAATTTGACAGCAAAAAGCACGGATGCTCCATCACGGGGGGGGGGGGGTTCAGGAAGAGGCCGGACGTTTGTCTGAAACGATGGAGGGTCTCCTGCTTGAGCAGAGAGAGGGACTAGAAGGTCTCTTCAATCCCTTCCGTTATTCTGTCATTCTGTGAAGGCCCCTGTGTAGGCAGGCACATCTGGCCAGATGTGTCAGTCTTTGGTGGGAGAAAAGCTATTGCCATGCGACTCCTGCCTCCTGCTGGCAGAACCAGCCTCCCCCCTGCCCCGTTTTGTTTACTTGCTCCCAACTCCTCTTTATCTGTGCTTGATTAGCAATGAACAGGTGCTGATTTTTTTATAGCATTTGATTTAAGTGCCCCCCAGACTTTTTACTCCCCTTGCAAAACAGGATTCTTGACACAACTGGGGGGAAAATGGCCAGACGTGTTTTATTTACCTGGGGGCTCAGGGTGTTTTGGCTGGCGTTGCTCCCTCCCTCCCTTTTAAGCATCTTGGTTTGAGTCCCTTCTTGTTTTGCTTCTATAAATGAAAACGGTACATCAGCCACTTTGCAGCCAAACCTGGGGAAAAAAGAGGGGGGGGGGAGGATTTGACAATGCATTTGAATCCCTTCGTCCCCCAAGCAGAGACCCAGCTCAGTGCTGAGCTTTTGGGATCCCTCCAGAGGAAGGGGCACCTGCCCTCTGAAGAGGAAGATTTGGGGGAGGTTCAGCTTCTCCTTATGCTCCCCGTGCCCCCCCCAGATGGGCATCTGTAGCAAACAGCAATTTTGGCCCACCAGTTTTGAGCTTTTGGGATCGGTGCCAGGACTGGACACAACTGGAGGATTACAGCAGGGTCTCTGAGCTGCCTCTGGAAACGTTGGTTGCCACCAAATCCAGCTGTTGGGCTCTTCATTGGTCAGTCTATGGGGTGGTGGGCAGTTCCTAAATATAGTTGGTGGTTGGTTGATAGGTGTGTGTGAGACAGAGAGGGAGAGGATGGATGGACGGGATGGATGGACGGATGGATGGAATGGATGGATGAATGGANTGCTTCTCTCCTCGGTCACTTTCCATCCGTTGCTCCTTGTCCTGCCTTCAGGGGGGGGGGGGCTCTTCTCTGTGGCAGCCCCTCAAATAGTGGAAGATGCTGCCATGCCACCCCTCGTCCTTCTCATTAAACTAGACACCCACAATTCCTGCAACCGTTCTTTGTATCTTTTGAGCCTGCAGCTCCTTAATTATCTTTGTGGCTCTTTCTAGAGTTCCAACATCTTTTTTGTATCGTGGCAACCAGCACCGGATGCAGAATTCCAAGGGTGGAATAACTAAGGCATTATAAAACAGTACTAAAACTTCACGTGGTCTTGATTCCATCCCTCTGATAATGCAGCCCAGGATTGCACTGGCATTTACGCCGGAGTTCTTGCTACTGCTGCTGCCATTTGCATGCCAGCTGGGGGGTTCTGGGAGCCCCTCAAAAGGGCAGCCCCGTTTTATGAATCTCCCTGTCCCCAAGAGGTGTTTGGGAATGGACAGAATATCTACTGGCATTCCAATGCAGAGGGATATCCGGACCTGGGGTTAAGGGGCGGATGCCCTCGATGTGTCCATAATCTTAAGTTTCTATGATTTATTTATGCCTTGAACACTCCCGGGGGAGGCTTTGTGGGAGAGTCTTCCAGGATTGCAGCTGCCAAGATTTCAGGGCTGTCCAAGCATGGCGATTTTAAGACTTGTGGACTTCAACTCCCAGAATTCCCCAGGCAGCCATGCGAACCCCAGAATTCTCACTGTCCACCTCTGGCCCTGCCCAGAACCCAGATGGTGCCTCAATTCTCAAGTGTTGAGGTGGGGGGAGAGCACTGGACCAGCCGGGGCCCTTCTGGGACTTGAAAGCAGAAGAGAGATTCACCCCATGCAGAGAGGCTGGAGCTGTGAGGGGGCAGCTTGCTCCGTTCAGGGGTCAAACACTGACTCACACGTCCCGGTTGATGTGCAAGCAGGAAACCAATCACCACCACCCCCGTCTTTGGGGTGCAGTTGAGTCACAAAGTGCCTCTTGGGGGCAAAATAGAATTGGTTAGAGCAGGGGTGTCCAAACTTGGGAACTTTAAGACGTGAACTCCCAGAATTCCCCAGCCGTTCTGGGAGTTCGAGTCCACAGGTCTTAAAGTTCTCAAGTTTGGACCCCCCTGGGTTAGAGGAAGCCCCTTGTACCAGGCACGGGGTAGGGCTCCAGGCAATCTAAAAGTACTTGCAGGTGGGGGGAGCTTGCAAGAATGCGAACGAAGATGGATGCAGATTTTCATACCAATGAAAATTCACAGAGTTTTGAATAGTGATTCTCCTAGCAGGCCCACAAGTGGGGGAAAGAGAACGTTGTAGGGAGCGGGAGGGCCGTGGGGGTCTAGGGTGGGATTGGGTCAGAGAGGGAGGGGCAGCCCTTTTTGGCCCTCTGTCTTCATGCTCAGCTTCAGTAGATCTGACTCTTCCTCCCCATTCCCCCCCCCCCCCGCAGTGCTCAGCATCGGAGAAGGGGGCTTCTGGGAAGGAAGCGTGAAAGGACGGACTGGCTGGTTCCCGGCAGAATGCGTGGAGGAAGTGCAGATGCGGCAGTTCGATTCACGACCAGGTAAGCCCCTTGTGGGGGCGGGGGGAGGGAGACGGAAGAGAGGTGGCCAGAACTGGGGTTCCCATTGCAGGCCGTTGGCTTCCCCTAGTCCCAAAGGCCCCGAGGAGGGAGGGGCTGAGGGCTCCGTTGCTTGATGGCCCTTGCTGTGCCTAGAAGGGCCGAGGTGGAGCAGTGGTTAGAGTGCAGCACTGCAGGCCACTTCAGCTGACTGCTATCTGCAGTTTGGCTGTTCTAATCTCACCGCCTCAGGGTTGACTCAGCCTTCNGATAGATGGAATGAATGGATGGATGGACAGATGGATGACTGGATGGACGGATGGGTTGGATGGATGAATGGACAGATGGATGGATGGGATGGATCTCTGTAGGAGACCCCCTTTCCCAGGCCTTCCTCCTTGGGGCTGGAGAACAGACCTCCTCCTGCACCTTCCAGGGCAGCTCCCTGTCCTCTGCCTGCAGACCGAGCCCTGGAGAGCTTTGCAGGCCTTGAGGCTGACCTGACCTGGGAGTTTTAACGTGTGAATGCTGAGCCCCAGAGGAATCGGGTCCTTTGGGGTTTACGATGTCAGATGACCGAGAAAGTGCAGCTCTTTGCCGGCTGCTGCACCATTTGTGATGAAAAGGCGGTTCTTGAAAAACGAGGCATTTAATCAGGGAGAGCCCCTGCGGGGGGGAGGGGAGAGCAGCCCTCCTGGGAAAGAAGATAGGAAGCTGGGTGTTAATGGAGGCTTCCCGGTGGCCCCTTTTCCCTCTTGTTGACTCCCCCCATTCATTAAGTCTACAGTTGGAGTTCATCTTGGCCTGGAGCTGGTCCCATTCCTGGTTTGTTTGCTGGGCCAGGACCTTCCTCCCTTCTGCTCAGCCCCCCTCGCCTGTCCCTTCCTCTCCAGAGGGACTCCTCTGCCTCCTTCTCTCCTCCTCCTCCTCCTCTTCCCTTCTCCCATCCATCAGCCCCGAAGCCTCCTGCTTCCTGCTTGACAGCCCCATTAAGTGCCATCTCACAGGGGCTATATTTAGAAACCAGGAGAGGGATGAGCCTCCTGGCTGTGGACAGGCCATCAATCCTGGTCCCATCGCAGAATAACGTCCCCTTCTCTGGACTTGAGCGAGATCTACCGGAGGGTTTTCAAACAAGGAGCTTGGAGAGAAGCCCCTGGGAAGGGAGGGGCAGCAAGGGGTGAAGGTTTGTTGAACCCCAAAGGTCAATTCCGCCCCTTGCCCCCCCAGCCCTACAGCGCTTGGGTTCGACAACCTCCAGATAGGTTGGGGTTTCCACTTCCAGCTTCTTCCACCACCAGCAGGACCTGGTGGATCCTCTGATGCTTGGGTAGCCTTGTCTTCTTCTCTTGTTCCAGCATGTGGGGATGGAAGGTCCCCTCAAAGGAACTGCTGGGCAGAGGGGCTTCTCCTGGCGCCAGGAACCTCTCAGCTGTGGCCTTCATAGGAGGTCATTGAGAAGAGCCTGCCCCAGGGGGGTGGGATGGATCCTTGGGGGCCTCCCAAAAGGGTTTGCGTGCTGGGGAAGGAATGTGGGCGCCTGTGTGAGGAGGCAGCTGAGGCCCCCTCCTGTTGCTCCTGAAGGAGCTTAAGAGCCACGTGCCTCTGTCCTGGGGGGCTGGCAAAGCCCCCGCCCCCAACTCGGCCTCCTTTCAGGCTTCCTTCCCACTGACCTGATTCCTGGGCCATCGCTGGCTGCCTGGCTGTTCTCCTAAATCGCCCTTCACTGCCATTCCATGGGCAGTCCACAAATCAATTACAAACATTAGGAAGATCATTAAAAACTGTGCAGAATACAGCACAATATGCAACAGTCAAAACGGCCATAAATCCAGCCTAAAAGGCCGTAAACCAACCGTAAAGAGCTCTGGGCATTGGGAGCCCCAGTGCGGCTTGGCCAGGACAGCTGCCGTTGGCCTCAGGCTCCCTTGGCTGGGAAGGGAAGGCGCCTGGGGGAGCTCGGAGACCCCACTGGGTTGGGGGCTGGCCGGACTTTCCTAGTGGAGTTGTGTGCAGTGATGCTCTGAGCCGGAGCTCACCAAGACGTTTGCGGTTGAGGGAGAACGCGGAGCACCAAGGAGCTAAGCAAAGCTTGGCCTGATCCAGGGGTGCCTGCCAGCTCTATTCTGATTGATTGATTGATTGATTGGGAATCAGGACAGTGTCAACACGGCTGGAGACCTTCCGGACTTGGCCAGGTTCTTCAGCTTGGATGGCCCGGGAGAGAGAGCCCCATCATCATCAGAGGCCTCCTTGGGCCCCCTGCTTGGCCTGAAGACTCTCTTGACTAGAAGCCGGGAGTCTCTCTCAGCAGCTCCCCAAGGCTTGTGGAGGGACTGCCCGTCAAAGTTCCCGGCAAATTGTATTCCTCAGGATGACAGAAAGGTAATTATTACAGATGTGGGCAGTAATCATATTTCGCAAACTTAATTCCAATTAAACGTGCTCGGAAGACCAACCTACTGACAAGAGGCAATGAAGACATCTGAGTGGTGGGCGGCCGTCAACGGTCAAGGGAGAAGCGGCGGAGGAGACCGGGAGGCCTTGGGGAAAGATCTCCAGGGGCCGTCAGGGGCCCAGACCTCGTGCCAGCCACAGTATCCCCTGTGACCCTCGAGGGAAGCAAGTTTGGGCTTCCGGAGCAGCAGGGAGAGGAAGAGCGTTGATGCTTCTGAAGGGGGTTGTTGGAGGAGACTCCTGAGCAGGCCAAGGACGCCAAGGAATGGATCATTGACTCCACCCAGAGGTCTCACTTGAGGCGCCCAGCATCCAAAGACTTTCTCCTCCCTGGCCGAAGGTCAGACATTGGGGAGGCTGGAAGGGAAGAAGGGAAGAGCGGCCTCAGGGTGGATGGGCTCTGCCAGAGAGATGGCGAGGGCTTTTGGAGAAAGCCTGGCAGGAGGGCACAAAGGGTCCTTTGAAGGCGCATAATCGGGTCATTTCTCAAATTGAAGAAATGTTCATTTACGTCCTGTTCATATCCAGGACAGGTTTGAGGTTGAAGCATTGGCTCATTGCAGGTGGCCCCCCTGCCCCCTTCAGCAGCAGCACCAAAGCGGCTCTCCGTTTATTCATGGGCCTCCTGCGTCCAGTCTTTCCGAGGAACAAAAAGCTCCTTCCTCCTCCGATTTCCCTCACCACCACAACCGGGTGAGGTGGGCTGGGCTGAGCGAGCGGGATTGGCTTGGATGCCCAAGGCAGGACTACAACTCTCCGTCTCCTGGTTTCCAGCCTGGTGCCTTAACCACTCGGCCCTGGGGGTCCCTCCTTTGGCTTGCTGGCCCGTGTTGAGGGAAGAGGAGCCTCCTGGGGCCGCCTGTAGAAGAGAGTGAATGTCTATACATCTTAGAATGATGTGGAGATGATGCCAGCCTTCCAGTCATGGAGGGCTCCCCCCATAGAAGAGGGGGCCGGCCTCTCCTCCAAAGCCCCCGAGGAAGAAGCAATGGGTGGGAACTAAGCAGGGAGAGAAGCAACTTAGAACTAAGGAGAAACTTCCTGAGAGTGAGGACAATCAACCAGTCGTCGCTCTTTAAGGAGAGATGGGACAACCGTTTGTCTGAAGCGGTGCAAGGTCTCCTGCTTCAATAGGGGGTTGGACTAGAAGACCTCCGAGCTCCCTCCCAACTCTGTTATTGTGATGTTTTCTGTTTGCTGTCCAGGACTGGGTGTGGGCCGTGGGTTGGACATGCCTGCCCCAGACCACAGGGGCTCCAGAACAGCCGCCTTCTACCAGCTTCTGCCGGGCTTTGGCAGGAGGGAAACGGGGGCTGTCCGTTCTGGTGTTCCCCAGAGCCGAGGTGGCACAGTGGTTAAATGCAGCACTGCAGGCTACTTCAGCTGACTGCAGTTCTGCAGTTCGGCTGTTCAAATCTCACCGGCT